GATAAGTTCGAGTCCAAGTTCTTGAGCCAGGGTCCGTATGAGAACCGTGATATTTTCCAGTCCCTGGATATCGCTTGGGAACTTCTGCGTCTGTTCCCAGAGAGTATGCTGAAGAAGGTGCCTCAAAAGGTCAAGGATAAGTATTACCCTCGAGATCGTGAAGCTCAGAAGGCCGCCCAGGAGGCTCAGTAAAATGACAATTTCTGTTACCATTATTCTACACTGCAGTCGTGATTCATTGTTGGCTCCTGGAAAGGTGTAGCGATAAGTGTTTAAAAAATGTCTAGATGATTCTCATTCGATAAGGTCCTTGTGACCTGAGATATGATACGCCAGAGTGTTTCTTTGGAACATTCTGCTGTAGTGTTGAAGTTAAAGTCAGCAGATGCTCGAAAAATAGGGCAGACTTTCTCAGTACAGGTTCGACGAACATTCTCAAGGAGGTGTTGTGTGACTACTAAAAGGTCTATGTGTTGTAGGTTTAAAACTAAAAGAGAAGAAAATTCAGTTTCGGGGTAACAAGTCTTATGTTCACGACCATTTTAGATCGACGAAGCATTATAAGTCAGCTTTATGAGAGAGATCTCGTTTTCTATGTCATTCGTAAATCTACGTTTTTAGTGCAGTGCGAAGCAAACTGTTATGCAAAGTACCTTTTGTTCATTTAGGAGAGTTTATCAATGAACTTGACAGTGGATGATGAAACAGTTCTGAAACTTGTGAATCGATTTTTATTACTATTGTCAATCCGTCTCTCGAAGCTCTCTCCATAAAGGTGATTTGCATAACGGTTTGCTTTGCACTGTATATTAGAGCTTTGCATACTTCTAGTCGGACCTTGAAACGGAGAGGAAATACGTACAAGCTGTCGTACATCTGGCGCTTTGTGGGGATACAATTTTTTCACAAAACCTGTACGCTCAAGCTCGTGGGCTTCCGATACACAGGGACTTCGCGGAGGGATAGCGCTTTTTCAAAGGCCTGAGGTCACCTCGGTCTGCGATGCTCAGATACTTGAGGATTGCCGCATAATCCCAATTATTAAATACTGTTTATATTTTCCTTCCCTACAAAGTAACGATGGTTTTACGATGTTAACTGAGTGAGAACGATTTAGTTTCCGATCACTTTGATTTTTACTATACTATCAACTCAACTCTACTAGAGACAGATAACAAATAATGGAGAATTGATACTCCGTCAAAATGATCATCCACATGATAACTAACAGAATTGGTTTTTCTCTATCGTGCTACTAGCTGCATAACATTCATTGTAAATAAATTACTCAACGATTATCTCCTTCCCCTTCACACGAAGTAAACTGGCAGGACCCGACTCCGACACGCAAATGCCGATTTGCCCTTGCGCTTGGACACAGTTCATACCTTCCGGGCACTTCATGTCACCATCAGCCTGATCAAAGTCAATCACATGCGATCGATTACTCGAACTAGTCTCACCCTGCACAGAAGAGCGCAATGATCAGGCCTGGACGAGTGCACCGACAACACACATCGCGCAATGGCTTCCATTCCAGCCGGCGCAGGAGGACACGTGTCTCTCTCTCCACACGGAGGCGCGCACATCTTATACACATCTAACAACGTAGACATCGATAGACACCGGTACGTTGGAAACTCACGTCCACTGAGTTCAATTTCGCCTTGGAGATCGCCCTTGTCACAGGAGGGGGGTGATAATGACCAGCGTTGGGTGAGACATTCGTTTTCATGCTCACCACGAAGTCCTCAGGATAATCAAACTGGACGGCTGAAAG